CGTATTTTTTCTCTATTTATATACTGTGACAATCAGCTAACATTACGATATATATAGTTTAGCAACTTTTCAAATTCAAGAATGGACACCCGTGTTTGGTGGAACACACACACACACACACACACAACACACACACACACACACACACACACACACACCACACACACACACACACACACACACACACACACACACCACACACACACACACACACACACCACACGCATACACATGTTTTCTTCTTTCACCATTTCTCTGTCTCTACTTCTAACCATTTTACCCCTCTTCTGTCCTTCTTACATCCCTTATATCGAGACTCCTCCCCTCTTCTCTTCTTTTAACTTTTTCCGAGAATTTTCACGACAAACTAGAGACGAAACCAAACCATAGACAACTTTCTTTTTTTATGTCACTTGTGGAATCTCTACGGTACTGTTAAATGTTAGAGTGTATAGTAGTTGTTCGAAATTGTAACCCACATTAATGCTCAATTTCGTGATTAGTTAGTCCTCGGCCTGACCTTTGTTCCTGTCGAGACTTGCAAAACAGGATTTTGTCCTATGCTGTTGTTAGTTCGCACGTCATTGTCAGACATCCTACCAACAGTACTGTAAAGAAGGTGTTATGATAATCCAACGGTGACATACGTTCATACTGTCGGTGTTATCCCGTAAAAAGGTTCGAAACATATATGTCACCCGGTTTTCATAAATTGAGTCTGTAAAAGATTGTAATTGAAACAAACGGTTGTGTCGTAAATGTAACAATCCGTCAATACAAACCACATGAAGATTTCCATTTAATGAAGATTTCCAAAGAATAATATGTGTAGGACCAGAAATCAAAGCAAATATCGTATTGCAATGCGTAAAAGCGAAGACGGTAATCTTAAATACTAAGCTTTTTTATCTTTTCATCCATCTATACACCTCTAATAGGCGCCGGACTTGTTTTTCCACGTCACAGTATAGTTCGGCCGAAGCGACAAAGGTGTCTAGAATAAAGCTCGATAAAGGGTTTTAGGATACCTCTTTCTAGGGTATCTGAGACTCTTCTCCCTTGGTTATCAACATTTACGATTGAGGTCAGGCCCAACAGTCTGAGGGTCGGTGACCGGTGATATAGAGCGCCAGTCCATTCGATTATATGCACAAATCGATCGAGTTACGAAATTTTTTCTATGACATTGATTGTTGACTATGAACGTTATTTGTAATTGTATAAACCTCCGTACCGCCACGTCGTGTATTGGCGACACCGAACCGCTTAAGTCTGGTCTCTCCCCTCCACATTGGCTACAGGCCACGCAAGTACCGAGTAGCCTATCATTAGCCATCTCCGCTATTACACAAGTGAATGATGCGCTGCGTGTTCTTGCAATGTCAGTTAAGGTGTTGCGTTTATTTACCTATTTGTGTCTAGCTAAATCCGGTCAATCACGTTTATTTCTTTTATTTTATTACTTGAGATGACAAAGTAGTAAACTGTGGTGTCCCTCCATTTCACTTCCCCCAACTCGTCGTTTTCCCGCCCCCTTCAGCCACGTAAACGTTGATAAAATAGCTAGAAATTTAAATAAAGAATAATACAGGATGAAATATAAGTACAACCGTGACAACCTCCTCGAGGCCCTAGATTCTAAAATCTTTACGGTTAACATGTGGACTCCGATCGTAGACTGATGGTGTTTTTCGGGAACTGCGGAACTTGGAATCACCACAATAAAGTGCTCAAGTCGCACGATTTAGCTAAGTGTGTTGAGATGCAGGCCCATAAGAAGGTCGTTGTTGTGTTTACCTGAATGTAGCATCCGGAACAAGGACGATTTTCTCCACAGCTTGGGCGATCCCGCGTGTTTCTTTTAGCCGCTTTTAGCCACAGCTGCTAATTTTATTTAAAATTTTTTAGATTAAAACGTTATTTTTACCTGGTTCTCCGCGCCAAGCTGGTAACGAACCGGAACGGTCCATAAAGAGGCGACAAAGTACTGTATGACACATTAGACAGTGCGACTGTGCCTCTAACGGTGTAGCTACATTTTATGTACTTAGACATCGGAAGACAAAGACCGACTTTCTCCCACAGCTGGTCGATACCGGTGTCGTTGTAGCGCTTTAGCTCAACATCTCCTATTTTTTATGGTTAACTTTTTGTAGCATTAAGAACTTTTTATTTTCGCGCTGGTTATCCCGCGCCCATCTCCGGAAACGTAACCCGTGAGAGGCCCATAAATAGGGTGACCAATTGTACCCAATTGGTTGGCCACCATTGACAGTGCAAAACTTCCTGTTTTGGCAACTGTATTAAGTGCAGAGGGTCGTACCATTTTGCAGTGGTACAAGTTGTGCAGAACCGGCACTATTTGGGCGGCAAACACATACCTTAGTCGTACAAATAATGAGCCGCAGTGTAATGTATGTTACTTATGATTTACTACTGTTATATGTGTCACTTATTTTACCACAAATCAGCTAATTCTCCGGGGTCCAAACATTTCCTATTAGTAGCAGCTCTTCCCTAATTCTTGGCAAGCCGCTACTTTCGGGCGTTTGTCTTCACTTTCATTACCTCATGGCTTAGCACTACTTTAGAATGAAGCCCTACGTCACCTCTGAGATACCTCATTACTCTCCAATCACGGACTACCGGCCGCCCCTAAATCTGATGAGTTTACCCGGGAGCGTCCGTAGGAAGGACCTGCAATGTCCCGAGGGCTGTACTGTCGCCGCAGGGCCTGTATGTCCCCGTAGGGGGCCTGTATGCCCCAGCAGGAACCTGCATGCCCCGTAGGACCTGCATAGCCCCGAAAGGCCTGCTGGCCGCCCACGTAGGGCCTGGCGGGATTAATGCCCCGTAGGCCTTGCATGCCCCGTAGGACCTGCATGTCCACCCGCAGGACCCGTATGGTCCCGAAACGGGCCTGTACCTGCCCCCGTTGGGACTGCATCGCTCCCTCGCCGTAAATTATGGGCCTGGGCTTCCAATGGTTGGACCTGCTTGTCCCAATCTGGTAGCACAGTTTCTATGCGTACTCGGCCGCCCGCGCTTATATTGGCGACCGACTGTACCGATTTCTGGACGTGCGGTCAATATACGGATGCTGTTAAATTCCAACCTCTCACTGGGAGAACTATGCGCGGTCGTGCGCGTGAGCTCAGCGCCGTGCTTAGCATCCGTGTTACTCGTTTTGGCGCCTCTCCTGCCGATGGCAGGGGCTGTCATACACCGTTCCTAGCTCCTACGTCTACCGAAGCTGTCTGAGTGCCGTGGCCTTCGATGGACGTGGGATAAAGAGTGTTAGGGTCACGGGACACATATGCCGTACCCCCCTATTGGCCGAAAGTACTCTTTGAACCTTTTAACGTGTTAAGGACTTCTATTCTTTTATTACCTCTTCTCCCCAATCTCCATCCAATTCGACATCCTTTAAAACTAGTACCTTAAATATTCCCTTCTTGACCCTTCCAGCAACGCCCGCCTGCCTACTGCCTCGTCCGCTAGAGGAGTTTGTTTACAGGGACATTTAAAATGGTCTTATTCGAGCTGGTAACACAGTAGACGACGTTGCAGTGTATTATACTGTAGTACTGCTATAATTCTAGATTTTATTATAAAAACAATTTTATATATAGGATTTCAACAGATTAACATTATCATATATTTTCGTCAAATTCAAGATAATGCTTTTACAGTGCAATGTCATGGTCAAGCTTGTAAGATAGTAGAAGTTGTGTAACCTTACGTTTGGATGACATAATATTTTATCGCTGAATTTTAGCTTTGCTTTGAAACTGTACTAAAACTAAGTAAGGGGCCATTATTGCATTGATGCTAAATTAATTTACTCAAATTAAATACAAATGCAAGTGTTTTTATTCTATTCTAAACAGGATACAGTTTTTGTTGTAGCTTGGGGAGGGACTTACAGTCACGGACTAGACAAAGGAAAATTTGTCAATATTTGTATTTGATTGCATTCTGAATTTGAAACCCAGTTTTAAATGACCTTGTCTTTTATTTGTCTTTATCTCCAAAAGAATGCCAGGACCAGGTTCCACTTCGAGGCATTGCTCAAGCTGCTGCATGTCACTGAATGTGGCATGCAAAACTTGCAAATTCTGTAAGGCGGTTCAGCCCCGCAAACTGTGCCTTAGCAAACTGTGCCTTAGCAAACGAATGGACAAGTTTGATACGAAAGCAAACACCTGGGTCCAGGCACAAAAAAAGAATAAAACTTCATCCCACCTGAGGGATCAAGCTGCATTGGTGGTATGTGATTTTTTTTTTGTTGGCCTGCATGCATAATTAATAACAGCCCTGTACTTGTTCATTCTGGATTTGGATTTTTTTTTTACATTTGATACAGAAATGTAATATCTGACCATATCTGATCATAATTACGTAATACAAATCTGCTGCTCAAAGCCCTAGGTAGAAATGGGCTTTGAGCTGGTGCACATTATGCAGATTTCATGACCTGCATGAACTGTGTGCCCCAAAAAAAATGTGACTATATGTACATTCAAGTTTTAAAGCACTGTGTCAGAACACAGCTAAATACATTTGCACTATTTAATCATTTATCCAATTCAACTTACATTCGAAATAGACATTTTCATCAGTGTGTCTGCTCCCTGTCAATACAACTACTGTAGACACAGGGATAAGTTATGTTTATTTAACTTTGGCGAATCATCGCTGAATTTGATTCAATGTAATTGAAAGGTACACTGTGTAATAGTGAGGTTTCTAAATTGCAACCAACTGAGTACCTCTCCCTTTATAAGCGTGTACAAAAACCTACAGTGGCCATCCATTGCCATAACAACATGAAAGGCCTTCTCTAGAGCCAGTGTTTTTTTCTTCCGATTGAATTACTGTAGTAACACGGCAAAGAGAAGAGAGTGAAATAGACCGGCTCGCTATGTATATATGAAGGGCTTATTCTAAGCTAATCACAACAAAAAATAGTTATAGGTGATTATACACATTAATGGAAACCTAATTATGAATACCATAATCAATTATATCTTATAGAACCCCTATAAATACTCCACAGTGTACTTTAGAAATAGAGATATTATCTCAGTACTGTGATTGAGCCTGTGTGCAACAGCAGAACATCTAGTATACTTGTAAGGCATCCAAGTGAATACTCACCTTCTAGTAGTACAATTACCCCAAGCACAAGAAAAAATACTGCAGGTGATCAAAAATTGCGACGTTTATGTTGTAGAATGGCTCTAAACTTAATCCCACTTAGAATCTATGGCACTGTTCATAAACCACAGTGCTGCTCCACAAACCTAGATGATATATACAGTGTAAATTCCGCCAAGAGAAATGAGAAATGCAATGCAGAATAATGTTCAAAGCTTCTACTTGCTGATCGCAACAGTCTTAAGACTGTTAATGCATGCATAAAAAAAAAAGTCTTTGTTATTGCATAGGGTTGAATATTTGTGCAAGCAGTGTATGTGATTTATGTTTAACAACTGGTTTTGCCTTTGCAAATAACCAGGGCATAATTGTTCTGAAATAATGTATATTTTGGTTTGTTGGAAGCTGGAAAAATTTCAGGCCTTGGAGCCAGAGGCGTCTTGTTCCTAGCCCGGCCTGGAATAAAGAAGGACTGGACCTGCGAAGTAATGATGCCAAGGTGCAATGTCAGCAGCAATGCCTCCACCTGCCTCCGAAGGATGGAGGTGTTATTTGAATTTGTTGCGAAAGGTATTGTTGTCTGTTAAAGTGAATAAAGAAATTATTAAGTAGGTAGTACTGTAACTTACATTTTTGTAGAATTAACCAATAATGTCATTGGAAATGAAATTAGACACTTAGATGTCGTTTTCTTAATAAAGTTTAGGAGGAGCCCATAGGGGTAATTGACAGCAATTAACTTACACCTCTTCCTTAAATCAAGCATACAAATGGGAGAACTAGTGAATTACATGATGTTGTTGATGCTATCCAAAGCTTATTTTCTTTAATCTAGGTTGGAGTCATACAGAGCCTGCAGCAGCCTCCGAAACCCCACAGCCTCCTGCGGAAAACTCGCCAGCCACATCAAGTAATTGCAGAAGTCTATTGTACCACTCTTTTTATTGTTTTCTGACTATATTCGTTATATTAGGATTTTATAAACAGCCAGGAGCTGACCATTCAAAATGACATTTGTTGAACTGCCTAATGAGACAAATAACGCCTAAGAACTTAATGTCATTACTTTTATTAGCACTTATGAGGACATTCCTATTGGTGGGGTTAGAGACCAATGTGTCCTTTTTCTGTGGTAAAATTATGTTTGCATGGTGCATTGAGTGGTTGTACTTGATGCAATATAAACTTGTGTTATTTTTGTAAGCTTCAAAGTCATTGTCACTTTTAACAGCAACTTGTATGTTTTACAAATTGTAACCTTTTCTTTTTCAGAAGTCGCCATTGCCACCGCAGACACCCCCACCAAGTCCTCTGGTAAGTAGCACAGCATAGTTCATCGCAAATTCCAGTAAAATAGGAGGTTCTGTACATTGAAGAAGGTGGCGTACATCCATTCTACTCTTTCTACTTCTATGTAGGAAACCTATCCGAGGAGATGTAAACCCTGACACTCATCCCTGTCCCAGCTGCAAGCACCTATTCACCATCGGCTGTGTCCCAGCCAGGGAAGAGGAAGAAGGGTTAGTGTTTTGTTTGTGTGATTCATTACATTTTAAATAATGAATAATGAGTGTTGAGTGTTATTTGCCCTCTGGCATCATGGTTTATAATAATAGCACTTGTCATTTAAATGCACCTTTCAAGGAACCCAAGGTCATTTTACATATACAACAGAAAAACAAATACATCACAATTCACAGATATCTTAGGGAAACCGTCTTTCCATAAATAGGGTGTGATTTGTCATAAAGTCACAGTTGGACGCTAACAAAAAATATTATGAAAGTTATTTAAGTTGCATAATACATTTTGACATACTGCATATTTGAAGTCAGTAGATCAGGAACATGAAGGGCAAAAATCATCTATAGCCCACAGAGGTTGTGATGCTATCTATGCCCCAGTCTCTACCGTCACTCATTTAACTTTCTTACATCTGTCACAGGTTTGCCCACAGAGCGTTCCTCCTCTCCAAGACTTGCTACCTCGTAGCAAATGGGTGTAGCAGTACCACAGGTGAAGGGATGAAGAAGAAGAATAAGGGTATGTTTTGTTTTTGTGGTACATCCTACTGAACAAATAAATAGCTGTATACTATTCTCCCATTTCACGCGCAAGTCCTTTTGCACACAAGATATCAGATCCAGGTTTCCATAATCCCTCTCTTTTTAATAACCATAAAAAACCATAAAGGTTTGCTCAATGACTTGTCTTTATTTATAAGGTGGTTAGAAATTATGTTTCATGAAATAAAACAAAAAGGAAGTTGGACACAAATAGGCCACATTGCAGATTAGCTAATGTTCTCTTCCTATATGAAAGTCATTAATCAAATATTCGTCTGGAGGATGTCCAAACCTTTTCTTCATTTGTTTATAACTTCTTATTTGCACCATTTCAGGCTGCAGAAAATGCTCAAGGCAGCAGATATTCAACTACAACGGAATAAAAGACAGAAGGGTAGAGAAGGTAAGATGTTGAAACTGACAGAGCATGAAGCAGCAATGCATTTACCCGTAGTCGCTGATATGGCTAACACTTGTTTTTGTCTGTTTGTGTGCCCGTGTGTAGGGAAGAGAGGAGGTAATGGTCTGCTGGCTGCCTTGCGCATCATGGTGAGAACACAGCTCTTTGGTTAGCTTTTTTTTAGACTGCGTTATAAATAAATGTATTACTTCATAACTAGTTTACTATCAGGCTTCTACAAAACTGACCCTAAGTAATTTGTTGTTTTATGATAACCCATGCATATGAAATTATCTTGTGGCACATGCAATGATCTTATGGTTGTTTTTATTCATTGTGTTTTTCAGTGGGAGAAAATGGGAAGTCACCTGGGAGCCTGCCAGTCAATTCAGTGTCATTTGTGTGTGTGTGTGTGTGTGTGTGTGTGTGTGTGTGTGTGTGTGTGTGTGTGTGTGTGTGTGTGTGTGTGTGTGTGTGTGTGTGTGTGTGTGTGTGTGTGTGTGTGTGTGTGTAGTGTGTGTGTGTGTGTGTGTGTGTGTGTGTGTGTGTGTGTGTGTGTGTGTGTGGAGAAGAGAAGAAATTGAAGAAGGCTCTTAAAAGTGCATACCGATTTGTTTTATTAAAACATTTCCCTTTTTGCAACATGGAGTCAAATGCTTCAATATTGTGTCATGAGACACTACTACACCACATTTCAAATAGATATAACCCATGAAATAATATTATAAATATTTAGGGATTGAGATTGTGAAATCCAACAAGTACCTTTGTGTTAATCTGAACAATAAACTGGACTGGTCGGATCACTGCTGCTATCTACAAGAAGAGACAGAGCAGACTGTATCTGCTGAGGAGACAGGTATTTTGGAGTGCAGGGGGCACTACTTCAGACCTTCCATGACTCTGTGATGGCATAAGCAATCTTTTATGCTCTGGTCTGCTGGGGCTGCAACATCTCGGCTGCTGTCATGAAAGTTACATGTAGTTTGGTAACAGCACCAGAATGGACAGGGTGTGCAGAGTCAGACACAGGAGAGCTGAGTCAAGGGTAAAGGAGCTTTGCATTAATTGTATTTATATTGACCCGAATGGTCTACAGATTGAACAGGACTTTAGTGGCACTAGATCTAGGAGTAGGCAATGTAATCTTTTCACCTAGTTGTATCCCATAAGTGTGCATTTTACTGAGATTAAGGAGCTAAAACGATATTCCCTAGTTCTTGATAAACCAATCTGACAACATGAGAATTTCTGTTTCAGTTTGTTCTTAATGGCAACATGACCGCAACACATGCTCTTTGTACCAAAAGGACAAAAATGTAGATCTGAAATACACACCGATATATAACAACAAAACAGTTTGACTTCCTAGCTGACAAAACTCCAACAAAGTCAACACAAAATAAGGTCATTGATCCTCCTGTTGTGTTCGGGTCAAATCTGACCGATTTAATACTGTCATCAATCAAAACTTTTTGTTTTAGATTCGATTGCATTAAGGTTTATGATCTCCTTCACAGTAGACATTTGAACATATAAAATTGCTGATCAGCACTTTCATTGAATTTTTGATGATTTAGTCAACTTTTTAACACCAATGACCGCCATAAAGAAATGGAATTAGTAACCATCCGGATCAGATACAACACACACACACATACACTAGATGTGTTTCCCCCCCTTATGTGCCCATCCCCCCATGTGAATCACACCTGGCACACACAAACATACACACAGAAGTATTCTCTCCGCTATGTTTGACAAACCCCGTGACGAGTCCTCAAGCTCTGTGATTGGATGTTTGAGTGGCAGTGCGCCGTGGGTTACGCCGAGCGCCGAACAGGCAGCAATTTGAAATGGGATGGAACCACGGCAGACTATTCAAAACTGAATTCGGATGGGTCCACCACCCCCGTCCCCACAACTACACATGCTGGCTATTGTATGTTTCGCAACCATGTTCGCAACATGTTCTATGGCACGTCTCTACTGGGAATTGTAGTTTTAAAAGACGTTTTAAGAACATAATAAGAAGTTGCCAGTATTAAAACTGTGTACATCCCTGGAGGTTTAGGGGATAGGAAACACTCAAATGTAAAACATATAAATAATAAATGGGTGAAAATTGCTTGTGCCCATAATGGGCAGCATTAATATATACCCACATGACAGCTAAGGTCAGAAGAGCTTTATTTAACAGCTGGTCTTATGTCTGTGACCCCTCCTGTTGTTCATTGATAAAGCCTGAAACATGCACTTGTCAAGGTTCAGAGGCACATTTTGTAAATATGAGCAGTAGCATCGATCATCTTAAGATAAGATATACTTTATGATCCCAAGTTGGACATTTTTTCGTTACAGCAGCATGTGTAACAGTTGTAAATATGCAGTGGTGTTTATTTGTAAACCATTTAGTATAATCACACAAATTCTGTGTTTTATATTTAATAATTCTGTGTTCTTTATTTATTGATTGTTCAATACCTGACAAGGTCGGAGATGAAAAACTTTGGTCGCAGGTTCCTCAACAGTGCATCACAAGACATCTATCAATATGTGTGTATACCTCCACCATTAAACTGTCATATTCTGCACATTTCTTATACTATCTACATAATCTTATAAGAGTATAATACACATATGTATAATATCAGTTAAAATAAGTGCTTACACATACAGTAGTTAACATTGCAGGAAAGCAATATATTAGTACTTTGTCAGGCTTAAATATGTATACCCCAAAGCTTTTTTTCTTATTCAAAGTAGAATTACCTTAACCCAAAGTATTCTTTAATGTTTAAATAAGCACTTATTACGTGTATCTTGACTGTGTCTCTCTATTAAGTATCAGATAATAAAGAATAATAAAATCATTAAGGTGAGGTTTAACACAATGCTAGGTGTCCCTTCTGATCAGCTGTGCACCACTTTATGGTGTTAAGATACCAGCCTATCTACCAATTGGATCAAATATAAAAAATCAGCCGAATTAGTATGATACTGCAAGACGTATGTGTGAAAAGAAATGCAAGATGTTGTTTAATGCTGCTGATAATTTCATGATCACGTACATATTTAGTTTCGGCGACTGTCATCTTCCTGTTTGTCTACAAGTCCATCAGGGCTCTATAAATAGAGAACGTACGGCAGATATGTATAGCTGTTTAATGCAGCCGAACCGTTATTGACATGCCGTTATGTGATGACTTTCAAGAGAAGAAAAGCAAGCACACATTCGGAATAAAGTATTATTTTATTCTTTTAAAATTGTTTCGGATATCACATCACAGGAAGTCCGGTTTCAGCACTTGTTAACTAAAATGTCCTTACGGAACGGATACCCCACCCATAGATCCTTGTGGGTGAATAATGTACATGATAGCAATCAACTACGCATTACACACAATATCCTTCACAATTTAATTCTACATTAAGAGTAGTTTCGTGGAGGCCTTCTAAAATGTTTTTAAATATATATTATAATCAGTATATTTGAATATGCTAGTTATTCGGTGGTATGCATTTCGATTAGCCTGCTACATGCCACTTTGAAGCTGTAACAAGCGGGAAATGTCACCCGCTGCGGGGACAATAAAGGATTCTGATACTGATATGAGCCAGTCGTGACGGTGTATGCACAGGGTGTCGGGAACTTGGACACACTTGTATGTTTTGCTTATATGTGCTGATTGCTGTATGTAAGGTACATTCAGAGGTGTGACGAAACATCGAGACTCCTGTGACAAGCTGGGTGATGGAAAAGAGTTCAATTTAAGCTACAATTTAGTTATAGAATCATTAAGACGACAAAGATAGTGAGGCCAGCTTGAGATGTTGCAAATGGGTGTCAGAACTTGGACACAGTTACATTGGCCTCTGTATATGTAGACGAAATGCTGATGTAATGGTATCAATCATAGTGTGAGGAACACATGAACAAATAAATGTAGTATTTTGTTAACTTGTGTACCTTTGTACTTAAGGAAGCCAAGTGAATCCTGTCGGACTATGGTTGTTTC